CAAATCCAGACCCTCAGCTCCCGCTACGGCATCAACCAAGCGTCGCTCTCAACTACTCGATGAACTCCATGAAAATTGGGACTCTCGGGAACCATGGCAAGAAGACCAGCTCGTTGACATGCAGATGCCAAGCTGCGTCCGAGCTGGAATTTCATCGCCAAGAGGCTCCAATGCTCAGCTGCCCAACGCAAGGCACGCTGGTCCGAGATATTAGCTCTCCAGACCTTCACGGCCACTGAGAACGGCGACATTACCACTACACCACCGGCCGAGAATCTCAACCCTGAAGACATCATCAGGACATCGCCTCCACCCTCACCGCGAACCGACCGAGCCATCCCGGCTCCCTCCACCGAGCCCAGCCTTCCTGACACTTCGCCCGCAGAGTCTCTACATGCGTGTACTACCACGCCGGCACCTACTGTGGTGGAACCATTGGCCACTGTCGAACCTTCCAACCTCGACACTCTTGATCCACCCACCTTGCCTTCAGCACCTTCGACTGCCAACAATCAGGACCCGCCCAGTCCTCCAGTTCCTGATTCGGACACTATGCCTAGCTGATCATTCTCAGTCTCACAAGTTTTGCTTCGAATTTTTACCCCTCCACCATTTCGCGCGGATGAAAAAGATGCGGCCGCCTCCATGACACCTCTCCCTCTCCGGACAGCATTGTCCCCTTCCCCATATGTGTCCATTTGGTTGCTAATTTTCACCCTTCACTCCTCAGCCATTTTGATGTTCTCAAGCGCGAACCATGTCATACCCAGGCTTTCCACAATCAGTGAACGCGGCGGTCCCCGTTTTCGGACCTTTACCACGCCTCGCCAACCTCCACGGCAACTTGATCCAGGTCCGGTACGCCATCCCGAGATGATGTGGCTTCATTGGACTCTCAATTTGCTCTCAGTCTCTTGGATTATCGAATTCATCCAGCTTCATCCAGTCGTCCTCCAACCTGTTCCTCCTCAAGATCAATTCCCGACAGAAGAAGCCTACCATCATTTCCGTGACTTTCGAATTATTCTTCTTGAACTCGGCATTCTACAAGATCGAGTTGACACCGCTCTTAGACAAGTCCAAGAAATTCCTCACAATGAACTGGCCGCTATTACTCGCACTTGGCACCAAGCAAACATTCGCTACATGGATGCTTTCAGTCGATCAGGACCTGCTCTACGCGATCCTCCAGATCATCAACTACCGCAAGCTCGTCCACCTATTGCCCCCCCACGTGATGACATTCGACTCCAGCCGGCGCCACAACATGGCGAAGCTCCCGTTCAGCCACCTCATACATCCCGTGCTCGATCACGCACCCCACCGGCTCGTACGGAGGACTCTTCGACTTCCACGCGATGGACTACCTCCAGTCGCACTACCTCTCACAGCGCCTCTCCAGCCGGGCGTGACGGCCTCCATGCCTCTCTATGGCAAGCCACACATGGACGCCGAAACCTTCTTACCTCTACTTGATACTGAGTTTTTGCACGTGACAAAAAGTTCCTGCATTGCGGCTGCCACACATGTTTTCCTCTTTTCCCTTCCCAGATCTAAAGACCACACAGTTCCCATCCAAACCGCAGCGAATCGACCACTCTTTGCAGCGTTCCCACTCAAAGTTCCGATCCTTCAATTCCTCCGAGTTGAACTCCACCACCTGCCATGGCTACCCTCACTTCATCGACCAGTCCCTCATGTCTAAGCAAAGCTACCCCCGTAGCTGTTATCCATCGGCGATCGACTTCAGATGAGCATCCTACGACAATCTCACCTACAACTCCTGAGACTCACGATGCTCACGAACCTTTCGAAGAATCCAATCGAGTATGGGCTGCCATTCCTCAAGGGAGTTCTCGATGTACTCATGAAGCCCTTCCACTCCTCAGTCCAAGGGGCTGCTGCCTGCTTTGCTTCAGGGCGATCCTCTGAACCCTTACTCAATCCTTCTTCTCTTTGTCCTTGTCTCCTCCTTTTCCTTTTCCTCTCTCCTTGCCCTTTTCGCCGCCCTTCTCGCGGCTTCCTTTTGCTTCGGGCCGGTCCCCTTGGGGTGATAGCCCCTCAACTTCAGGTCCAGCAGGTGTTCCCTGTTCATGAGCACCTCTTCGTCTCTTTCCAGGAGACCGCCCGCGTCGGGTCCCAGAAGTTCCAGGTACTGGGCTCCTGCCCAGTGTCCGTCTATGCAACTCTTCTCTATGGCCTTCACCCGCTGCCCCACTATGTCTGCTGCTCTCGCTGGCTGTCTCCGCGCTAGGTGATCGAGGATGGTGCATAGCGTTCGGAGTTCCCTGCGCGCCCGAATCCCCAGGCGGGACCCCAGCTGCCACCATCATCGTGTGGAAGTAATGGACGGCGGCCGGTGGAGTCAGTTCGCCCAACTCGACGGGATTCGCCCCCACAGCTCCTTGCGCACCTTCCTGCTGCATCTTCAGCAACAGTCGCGACGCTAAGCGGCCTGGCGTCTTCTTGGTGTACTGCATCAACTTCAGCTGGTTCGACGCCTTTGGAACTGCGGGGGCTTCCCGAAAAAGCGGCTCTGACTCACTGGAGGACTCCCCATGGAAGCGGACGATATCTCCTCCCCCAAAGGGGCCTCGATCCTTACGACCCTTTGCAATCTTACCCTCAGCTTCAGGGCGATGGGCTTCCCCAAAGAGGGCCTTCTCTTCACCTTCGTCCGAGGAGCTTGAGGACTCCGAAGCTGTCTTCTTCTTCTCCTTCGCCACCTTGGCTTCAGACTTCTTCTTTCGGCCGGAACCCCTTGCGGCCTTCTTCTCCTTTCCACCTCCTGAGGAGGGTGAACGTTTCCTCTTCTTTCCCGTTTTGGGCTCTTCTTCTCTCCTTACCCCTGAGGCAGCCGCACCTTCTTCAGCCTCTTTGGGCCTCTTCTTCTTCTTCTTCTTCTTCTTCTTTGCCTCCTCCTTGTGCTTCTTTTCTGCTTTCTTGGCAGTGAGCTTCTTTGAGCTCTTTCTCTAAACGGCCCACCTCATCGCGGGCCTTCAACAGCTTGGCTTTCAGCCCGCCTCCGCTCGAGCTCTCGCCGCCCGAGCCTACGGCCTCCTCATCATCATTGTCATCCTCACCTGGATCAACCCAGGGTAACTCAGCACCAGTCTTCTTGGCACCTGGCGCCATGCCCTTGCCCTTCAAATACTTGATGAAGTCTTTGCCGCAAGTCTTGTCAAAGGCCCACTCCGGGACATGGTTGTTGATCTCTTTCTGGTTCAAGGCTCTGAAGCGCTCCAGGTGCATCGAAGCTCCTCGTCGAGTCACCGTGCAGTCTATTGACGGCCCCTCACAGGCATGATAGGCACATCGCCCTGCCAGAGCTGCACCTGCGCCTTCTTTCATCCACCACCTCATGTGAGGGTCACTGGCTGTGATGTACTTGCCTCGGAACCAATGACCATGGGCGTCGGTGGTCATCCCTTCCAACACTTCCATGATCATAGTCCCCTGGGCCTTCTGTTCATCATCCCGGATGGCTCCTTCTATCAAGAGCCCAGGAGTGAACCTGAAGGCCATCCATTTTTCCCTGTCCACACCCCCCGACACCCACATGCCCGTAGGTGCCGGGGGGGTAAGAGGTTGCCTTGAGCCAATTGCTGCGAGTTCAGTCGACATATCTTCGTTATCACTTATTGTAATGTGTGTATATATATATATATATGTGTGAACCGAAACAAATCGCTTCGAAACGGCCATGTTGTGGAGCTAAGCATCACACGCTGTTGGTTCATCTTGGCTCGAGGAGCACAACCGTCAACCGCCATGTATAGAATCTTCTTTGGCCGAATGATCTGTACCAAACGACAAATGTAGCTGAAGGCTTCAACGAACACATCACTCTCCTCCTTCTGGCAAAGGCCTGCCCCATCTGCATTTCACAACCACTCAGAGGCTGAATATGACAACGCTTATATGAACCGTTCAAAAATCCATTTGCCTCCAGTGTTGTTGTGGGAGCAGTTGTGGATGATACCGTTCATATCCAGGTACAAGTTGTCGAAATCCGGAATTTGTTCTGCAGTAATGTTCTCATTGATCAAAGGGTAGCGCTCCTTGGATGAAGCAGAACAGTGGCAAGTCAAGTCAAGGTGCAACTCCTCTTCTGGTACTTTTCAAAAGGAGCCCTCACTCGGCCATCTGGAATTGAGTGCAATCGAGATGGTCACGAGTGCTGTCTAGCATCCGACAACCATCGATAAAAGCGTGGGATACCCATCGGACACCCTATATCTTAGAGCAACACTTGACCGGGCTTACCAAGAAAAGCTGCGGCTTGATCAATTCAAATCAACCAAATGCAGCTTTCACTTTGCTCCTGACAAGCGACATTCTAAAGCACTGAAACATTGATTTGCATGGCCTGGCTCCGGCCAGCGAACGCAACCCAACCTAGCCAACAGCAACCCCTTAAAGGACCTCAGGCTCTTCTTCTGCCATGGCTTCTTGCCTGAAGCTTGAGATTGCACAAACCGAAATGCTTTGACGCAAAACAAGAGCTTGCATCATGTTGTTGCTACCTCACGTCTTCACAAAGGCCTATTCAAACATAGCTCTACACTTTTTACCTAAAACATAGTACAGTAAGTACATCGCGAACAGGAAATGGAACCTTCAAATTGCCTAGGGCCTAGGCGACCTCTCAAGCAACTCTCTCTCGAAATGTCTGACTATGACGCCAACAGCACGTCAGAACGGCCGGCAATTTGGCCACTCTTTCAGAAGTTACTCGAGCCAGAAGAAGCAGATCAGAACCAGCAAAAGTTGGGCATCTGTCATGAGTAGGGAAAGCCTAAATGCAGTAGACCTCTCTCCCATGTTCATATTTAGAAGTATGGAGTCCAGAGCTCCTACAAAAAGTAAGAAGCCAAATTATACAAAAGGGTTTCTTCCTAGACGGCTTGGACCTGCAGCCAAAAGATCGATGCAGCCCTGAGGTCCACTCTGCAACCCACCTGGAGCTAAGAGCAATGACAGGAAAAAAGACCAAATCTTTTCATTCCGTTGCCCAGCTTGAGCTCAGGCCAAGTGTTCACGGCTCAGTCCTGCAACTCAAGAAACTACCAACCACCCAGAGTGGTATGCGGTTCCTGATTGGATATCCCCTTTCAGGACCCTATCGTACATCACAATTACATCGTATTGTCCAAGCCCCTCCAGCAATATCAAAGCGGCATGTCCAGAGTCCTCACCACCACCAATTTTGCGTGTGTAAATCATCTGCTTACTAGACCTCAATGACGAGAACTAACTATGCGGCAACACTTCCACAGTCAAGTGTGGAGATCACAAGCGTTCTTCTTGCTAGCTGCAATGCTCACATTTGTGAAACTCCAATCAATCAAGGCTGCTCTGCAATACTAGGTAGCTCTGGAAAGCCAAGGCACACGCTACTGGCGAATGTGCAATAATTAGTTGGATTCACGTAGCCCAAGCAGCAATGTTAGAGATAGAAGGAAACAAACAAAATATGCAATCTTTTTCACCACAGTGCAAGACACGGCGCACAAGAAAATTCAACACAGGCCATCCACAACACATATGACATTTGCATTTTGTTGTTGTGAATGTAGTTGCGTAGTTGCGAAAGCTTGTTTGGATTACATGTTGGTTTTTGTTAACCGTTTGTACCCTCAAGAGGGGCTTCGCCGCGAGAGTAGCGAGAAAGCACCGACACAGCTCACCTGACACAAGTTTGATCAATGCTCCTCTAGAAATGTACTTAGGATCTTACCGCAAATCACCATAGATAGTGACTTCCAGTTCTCTGACCTGAAGCCCTCTTATGCTACTCCTTACTTTTCAAGATCGAAATGACCCCACAAAGAATTACACCACCGTAGACCCCAAACAGGTTAGACAACAACGAAGCATTCCCAAGTCCACTTTTTGAGACATCAACAAGAAGGGAGACAAGGTGGACACAGTGATCAACAAGAAGGTAGACAAGAAGGGAGACAAAAGGATACAGAAAGAGAGACAAGGCGGACACAATGACCAACAAGAAGGCGGACAAAAGGAAACAGAAGGGAGACAAGACGCAATGACCAACAAGAAGGGAGACAAAAGGCAAAAGAAGGGAGACAAGACGGACACAATGACGAACAAGAAGGGAGACAAAGGGAGACAAGAAGGAAGACAAGGCAGACACAATGACCAACAAGAAGGGAGACAACAAGGGAGACAAGAAGGGAACAGAAGGGAGACAAGACGGACACAGTGACCAACAAGAAGTGAGACAAGACTGGAGACAAAGGGAGACAAGAAGGGAGACAAGGCCGACACAATGAAGGGAGACACGAAGGCAGACGAAAGGAAAAAAGGGAGACAAGACAGACACAATGACCAACAAGAAGGGAGACAACAAGGAAACAGAGGGATACAAGACGGACACACTGACCAACAAGAAGGGAGACAAGACCGGAGACAAAGGGAGACAGAAAGGAGACAAGGCGGAAACACTGACCAACAAGAAGGGAGACAGACCGGAGACAAAGGAAGGCAGAAGGGAGACAAGGTGGACACAATGACCGGACAACACCGGAGACAAGAAGGGAGACAAAAGGAAACAGAAGAAGACAAGACGGACACAGTGACCAACAAGAAGGGAGACGGAGACAAAGGGAGACAGAAATGAGACAAGGCGGACACAATGACCAACCAGGACGGACAAGAAGGGAGACAAGAAGGGAGACAAAACGAAACGGAAGGGAAACAAGACGGACACAGAAGGGGGACAAAACCGGAGACAAAAAGAAACAGAGGGGAGACAAGGCAGACACAATGACCAACAAGAATGGAGACAAAAGGCAAAAGAAGGGAGACAAGACGGACACAATGACGAACAAGAAGGGAGACAAGACCGGAGACAAAGGGAGACAAGAAGGAAGACAAGGCGGACACAATGACCAACAAGAAGGGAGACAAGACCGGAGGCAAACGGAGACAGAAGGGAGACAAGACGGACACAATGACCAACAAGAAGGGAGACAAAAAGGGAGACAAAGATCACAGAAGGGAGACAAGACGGACACAATGATCAACAAGAACGCAGACAAGAAGGGAGTCAAAAGGAAGCAGAAGGGAGACGAAGGCAAAAGAAGGGAGACAACACGGACACTGTGACCCACAAGAAGGGAGACAAGACCGGAAACAAAGAAAGAATGAAGGGAGACAAGACGGACGCAATGACCAACAAGATGGGAGACAAGAAGGGAGACAAGAACGGAGACAAGAAGGGAATCAAAAGGAAACAGAAGGGAGACAAAAGCAAAAGAAGGGAGACAAGACGGACACAATGACCCACAAGAAGGTAGACAAGACTGGAGACAAAGAAAGAATGAAGGGAGACGAGGCGGACACAATGACCAACAAGAAGGGAGACAAGAAGGGAGACAAGACCGACACAGTGACCAACAAGAAGGGAGGACAAGACCGGAGACAAGAAGGGAAGACGGACACAGTGACCAACAAAAAGGGAGACAAGACCGGACACAAAGGGAGACAGAAGGGAGACAAGGCGGACACAAAGATCAACAAGAAGAGAGACAAGAAGGGAAACAAAAGGAGACGGAAGGGAGACAAGACGGACACAATGACCAACAAAGGGAGACAAGACCGGAGACAAAGGGAGACAGAAGGGAGACAAGGCGGACGCAGTGACCAACAAGAAGGGAGACAAGAAGGGAGACAAAAGGAAGCAGAAGGGAGACAAGGCAGATACAGTGACCAACAAGAAGGGAGACAAGACCGGAGACAAAGGGAGAGAGAAGGGAGACAAGGAAATGCTGCATGGCCAGCGGAAAAGGGCCAGCAGCGACAGAAAGGGCGGACACATCATAAAGAAGAATTGAGAACCCCTAACAGTAAACTGTTTCGGGAATGAATAGAAATGGTGCATCGCAAGCGGAAAAGGGCGGACACCAGCAGTGACAGACCTGGGAGACAAATGAATAGAAATGCTACATGGCCAGCGGAAAAGGGCGGACACCAGCAGTGACACAAAGGGCGGACACATCTTAAGAAAGAATTGAGAACCCCTAACAGTAAACTGTTTGGGGAAAAATATGCAGTAACATCACCTTTAATCTATTTTCGACACACCTCAATATAAAGATACGTTATGATGTATTCCATTCTAAGCAGAGTGATCTTATTTCTTATTTGCATGCGCTTGTTTCAAATAGAAGACATCATTCCCTAATTCACAGGCACGCTCTTCCAGCAAGACATGCCCTACCCTTCCTCTGTGAACCTCCTGTGCCTACATGTATCGAAACCATAGGTTACCTTGCGACAATACTCGAATAGAAGATTGCAAAAAGCTCAATATACATGGCTGTTTTGGGCTCAACTGTTTCTATCTGAAGAAACCGTTTCCGATCTAGACTGTTGGGCAGTTCCTGTGGGCAATGCTTACTTACACTCGCTGGAATAATCATGGTGGCCCCTTGCATAAACACTTTCCTCTAAAACAGGTGGTTTTCCACTTCATGACTATTTCACGGAGTGTATCAAATCTATCTTATTGACGTGTATAGTAACACGAGGGTGGCTAGCTAAAACGAAATAGGAATGGCTGAAAGAATCTCAACACCTCACTCGGCATTGGTCGGTTTGAGAGAAAATGGATCAAACACAGCTGCTCCCAACTGTGACCCTGTCAAGATAGCCAGACCGAACCAAACATGTGCCAAATACTGTGGCTCGCAGTGGCACACGGCAGTAGCACTGCGCCCATCCCTTCTTTTAAAGGAAGAAACCCACAAACTGTGTCTTCAAAAAATAGAGAAGAATTGCACCTTATTGCTTTGTGGTTCTCAAGTTTTGAAGATGGAGGGAAGGGAGCACATCCACAAATTGCAGGCATAAACTTGCTTTGGCAAGAAAGCGTGAAAACCAAAAGAAATGCTCTGCGTAAACCTGTGTTTCCGAAATAAATCATGCCAAGCAAGGAGCTTCTCACCAACATGAGCGATCATGCCCTTCTCCTGTCAGCACACGTTGGAGGGCAGGACGGGTTTTATTCATAATATTGCTCAACACATTCCTTCGAGCCATGAACTACTGACATGATTCTAGCTGGCAGTGCCCTGCTTAAGCTTTGAGAACACTGCTGCATGGAAAGCTGGGCCAGCTTTGACCATTGCAAAAAACTTGTAACTTTGGGCGGATTTTTTCTCAGCATGGTTTGCAACAGCTTTTGTTGCAGTCCGCAAACTGAATCCTTTCCAAAGAAGGTTAACCGAAAACCCCTGCCTAGCTAGTTTTCTTGTAGGCTTCACGTTTGCACGTGTTTATTGCGTCGTTTTTACCAGAAGTTGTCAAACCTTCCAAGTGGTTTCTGCAATGTTTTTACATAGTCCACAAGCCGCTGGCGACACACACGTATTTACACAAACAACTATATACATGAATAACACTTCTGTTGAACAAAACAAAACTGGTCCAAATTTTACAAGTAAAGTCTGCACCTAGTTTTCCAAAATGTTGGACTGCACAAGCTTATTACAAAGGTTTCACAAAGAATGATAATGTTACAACCTGTTCATGAAAGTTGTGGTTTTACATGTTTTCCCAAATTTCGGGCTTTGCGAAGTCTTGAAAAATGTGTTGTGGGTTTTGCAAAGTCTTTACAACGTTTTGTGGCAAAATAACCTGTTTACAAAGTTGGGGGTTGAGGCTTTGTAAGAACTTTTGCAAAATCTTCAGTGTTGTAAAGCCTTGTGTAAAGCCGAAGCTGACTGAAAACTATTGAAAAACGCCAACCTGTGTACAATCCTTGTAAAAAACAAAGCGAGGCCAGCATAGACCCCAGCACCCGCAGCACCCGTTGGTTAGGTTCGACCAACCTCCAAAGCGCACCGAGCCAGCACCCAAGCTCCCAAGCGCACTCGGCAGCGACACCCTGCAGCAGGACCAGCACCCAAGCTCACAAGCGCACACAGCAGCGGCACCCTGCAACGGCACCAAGCATCCAAAGCGCACACGCGGCAAACTTAGCGGTACCAGCACCCAAGCTCCCAAGTGCACACAGCAGCAGCACCAGCACCCAAACTTCCAAGCGCACACACCAGTGGCACTTCCGAGCGCACACACCAGTGGCACCCTGCAGCGGCGCCAGCGCCCAAGCTCCCAAACGCACACAGCAGCAGCAGCGGCACCCTGCAGCGCCACCAGCACCCAGGCTCGAAAACGCACACACGCAGCTCTTCCTACACTTGAAGTAAGAACCCAATAGCTCACGCTATCTGGGGAACAAACGATCACAAATTGGCAAATTGGCAATTTTGTCCAAAACAACTTTGTAAAGTCCAATACATTGTAGAAATGTTGCAAAGACTTCAATACAATCCAAGACCTCGAAAAGCTTTGCATTTTCAAAATTATGTGGAAAGACTATATCACTATGTAGAAACTTTGTTTAAAAAACTTGTGCAGTAAATGCTATAAAAACTGCGTACACTGTTTAAAAACTCTGTAAAAACAAAATGTTCGGTAAAAACTGTGTAAAGTCAACAAACGATCGAAAACAAAACTTTGTAACAAACAAAAACTTGTAAACACAATGGTCAAAACTTTGACCAAAATCTACCAAATCCAAAAGGTGTCCAAAATCTTAACATTTGTCAAAACGTTATAAAACTTCAAACATGAAAACTGAGTAAAATGTCCAAACCCTTGTAGAAATGTTCAAAAACTTTGTAGAACCTTGTAAAGCTTTGTAAAACCATGTAGAGCGTTGTAAACTTCGTAAAATCGTAAAATTCAATAAAAACCTCGTAAATTGCACAGAGTGTGTAAACATTGTTTAAACTCACAACTGCGTAAAACGTTATAATGTCTCAAAACTTTGTAAAACCTTTGTAAAACTCCAAGACTTTGTAAAACCTTTGCGAAAAATGTGTAAAGTCCGAAGACTGTGTAAAATCGTTGTCAAGACTTTGTCAATCCGATGCGTCAAAACTTTGTAACATTCAAGACTGTGTAAAGACTGTTATCAAACCTACTTTAACAAAACAAAACAAAACGTTGTCAATCACGACAAAGTTCGTGCGGTAGCAACTTCTCGATTTGCGCGGTCGGCTCGATCGACCTAAAACAAAGCCATGCCCATCGCGCGCGCTTTTCTGAGGGGCGTAAGGCTCAGTGGCCAACTTGGGAGTAAGGGGCCACAGAACGGAGAAGCTGGTGCGAGAGGGTTCCGTCACACGTCATGAGGCTCGTGAATTTCACTGGTCTTTGCTTTCGAAGCACCAGCCTCCCTCAACTGCGACCATGGGCTTTGAAGCCAAGCTTGTAGGTTGTCTCTCAACCGCTTGTCTTCTTTTGTCAAGCCGTCAGCGTGCATCTTTTCAGTCGGCACCCAGCGCATGCCGGCGGGCGCTATCGACTGCTGTACGCTCCTGATTTGGAGCAAGCTTCTTCGGTCGCTGACCGATGGGTTCTCACTGACCACACAGTCATAAAGACTTTTGGATTCTGAAATCTGCTTCTGTGGCATTCTGCAGCCCAATTTGTGAGCTGGCTGCAAGTACAAAAGCTCGCTCAAGCAAGCATTCACATGGCATCCTCTATCGGTGCCTTCGTCAGCTGCCACGGCTTCTGAGGCCAGAGTGGATCTACACACCCTAGGGCTGCGACCCGACTTCCAGTCGGTCAAAACACAAGGGGTCACAGTCTCAGTGACCTCAGGAGGGCACAGCGTCACCAAGACGCCGTATTGGCTGCTGAAGTTGAGGGCATTTGCCCATGAGGAGTCTGCGTACACCAGCGCTATGGTGCTCTTGTTCAGGTGAATGCCAGGCAGCACTATGCCGGAGTCCATGGTGGCCATGGTGAACTGCAAAGCTTCACCTAAGTTCTTGAGATCTCTGAAACATGTTTCGCCTCCCTTGTTCGAGAGGCTTGTCACAGCAGCGAGCTCCGGGCGGCTTTGCGAAGCAACCCATTGCAAACATCCAGCCATCGACCGAAATTCTTTCCAGCCTTCAACCGTGAGCTTCTGGTCCATCTTGCCGGGAACAGGTCGAGGTGGCTCCATCGTTTTGCAGAACTCTTGCTGCGTCACTTTCACCTTCCATTCATTCTGCTCTTCATAGAGGGTGATCTCCTTGCCTCTGTAGGTGCCCTTGTTGCTGCCGTCAAGCTTGGTCACACTGCCCCATTCCAGCATCTTCTCAAGGGCTTCCAACTTGAAGCTTTCGGAGTAAACTGCCAAAAAATCGTCCACATGGACGATCAACGCACAGTCTATCTTTTCCTCACCTGAGTGCAGTGAGGTGTGGTACGACAAGCAACGGTCCAGGTCGTGCATCTTGAAGTCGTGTTTGCGCAGCACTGAACAAACATGCTTGTACCAAACGCGAGGTGCGCTAGCAAGCCCGTAGCAGTTTCCTGTCACCAGGTATAACTTGGCTGCGAAGCAGCCAGACTGCTTCACCAAAGGATCCTCAGGAGGCTGCATATAGAGCGGCTGATTGTTCCTTTCCTCAGTCGCTTGTTGTCCCTGCAGGAAGGCAAACTCTGAGGTCCGTGAAGGTGTTGGTGAATCTCTGCTCAGGGAGGTGATGTCAGGATCTGCGCGGCCGATCAAAACACATCGAGCCTTAGCAGCCAGGGCGCCGATACCGCGTTTCTTGTCGCAGTAAGCCATGCGAGAGCGCAGCACTCGTCGCCGCAGAATGCGCTGTGAGGCATTGGATCACCTCTTGTAGGCCATCCTCATCTTCTTCGCCTTGTTCAGGGTCTTCCAAGGCTTCTTCATCGTCATTGAACTCTTGTGCATCTTCGTCGGCAGCTTCTTCACCATCGAATGGCTCTGCATCTGAGGGCTCAGCTGCCTCTTCATCTTCCTCTGGGATGCTCTTGACATACTCAGTGACATAGGTCTGGCGAGGTCTATTCTTGCCTTTGTGGCTGCCTTTTCCTTTGCCCTTGGGATGTGTTGTACGATCATCATGCACCACCTCGATCGCGATCTCGCCCAAAGTCGAACTCTCGGCTGAACACGACAGGTGGTGTCGGTCTGTGGTCGGGGAACTGGATGATTGCAGCTTCTCTCACCTTGCGCACATCAAGGTCATTGCCAGTGGCGGTCAACAGAAGTCGCTGCTGGTCCAAGGAAATTCGCGTTCTGTCCATGAGGCGGCTGCCTCGCCTTCAGCGAGTTCATGCATCTTGCCTTTCTTGCCTCCTTTGCCAGATCCTTTCCCTTTGCTCTTAGGATTCGCCCTGGACTTCGGGGAGGTCTTGGGACTCGGCTTGCCTTTCGCACTCGGCGATTTCTTGCAATTCGCACCGATGCGCCCACTGTCTCCGCACTTGAAACACCTCACCTTGCTCATGTCAGTCGAGCAATTCTTGGCAAAGTGGCCAGCTTTCCCGCACTGTCGGCACCTGTCTCCTCCCTTCATCGCTGCACTCACAGGCAACTGCTCCTCATCTTCCTCCCAGTCATCCCAGTCCTGGTACTCATACCATTCGTAGACATCGGGATCAACAGCCACTTCGTGGACGTGCCGTGCCTGAGAACCTGGTCCAAGCTCCATGAACAACTTCTGTTGTCCTTCATACCGCAAAGCCGCGGCCCTGAGCGACGGAAAACTCTCATCCGAAGCGTGGAGCATGCTCTGCTTTCCACGTCGTACATGGACTCGACGTTGATCTGGACAGATCTCAGGTTGCGCTCGGTGCGAGCATATCGATTGCAGAAGCTCCTAATCGTTCCGCCAGAGAAGCGGTTCAGCTGTTCAAACTCTGACAAGTAGCGACGCTTCAAATAGATTGCACGGGTCATCAACGGGGTACGCAGAGAGTCCAAGATGAAGTCGATGCCGTCCTTGTGGTTGATCAAGGACAAATCTGCATGCTCCAGTTCTTCTTCCGCCTCCCCTCGGAGGCTCACATACAAAGCCATGGCAGCTTCGTTGGCAGGAAGATAGGATTTGATCTGAACCTGCCATACACGGACCTTGCGCTCCCATTTGGTGAACGCCCGCAGATCTTCGCGACTGTAGGACCAGGAAGGAGGGCTTGGAGGGGTGCCTCCACGAAACTTCACTCCCGGCTCCGGCCCTTTGCGGGAGTTCCAATGCGAGCTGCTGCTTGAAGAAGGTCCTCCTCCACCATCGCCACCATCAGGTGGCAAGTCAGGGCCTGCAAAGGGCCTATGGCCAGCGCTGCCTGCTCCAGATCCAACTCCTTTGCCACTTCGTGGTACGAGGGGACCAGGTGATACTTGAACACTGTGTGATACTTGAGGGGCAGGAGATACTTGGAGGCCTTGAGCTCTGGTGGAACCAACAGGTAGGTTAGGACCAGGGCGTACTGTAGGATCAGGTGGTTGTTTATCACCTCTTCGTTCTGCACGGCGTTGTCGCCGACTCTTCTTCTGTGGCACAGGCTCCAAGGTTTCTGGATCCACCTCAGGGTCGTTTGTCATCAGACTCTCGGAACCTGCTTCGTGTGCCTCGGACCAGTCATCGGGAGGTCCGAGGTCCCATGCATGACGATCGGAATCGTCTCGAGCTGGGGTCCATGGAGGCGTACTCGGTGAGGACAGCGTCCTTGGTGGAGTCGATGAAGGTGGAAGGTCCACCTGTACGAACTAGATGAAACACTTTCATACTCAAAGCCTCCACACTGCGCGCAACGCCAGCTGTCAAGGGCTGCAGAGTAGACAAACCTATCATGGTAGCATCTGGCGCACTGCCAGCGAGGTCCTGGATCGTCTAGGCTTTGTGAGGGAGGTGTCCAGGGCTCTGAGGGTTGCGAAGGAGTGTGATCAAGATCGAAATCAAACAAACCTGAAGCAGCGTCCTCGGCCATCTGTCACCTTTCTCTCACGAAGCCCCCGTAGGGGCTCCGCTGCCAACACGACAAAGTTCGTGCGGTAGCAACTTCTCGATTTGTGCGGTCGGCTCGATCGACCTAAAACAAAGCCATGCCCATCGCGCGCTTTTTTCTGAGGGCGAAACAAAGCGTAAGGCTCAGTGGCCAACTTGGGAGTAAGGGGCCACAGAACGGAGAAGCTGGTGCGAGAGGGTTCCGTCACACGTCATGAGGCTCGTGAATTTCAGTCAAAACTTTCTTCAAACTTTGTCAGAACTTTGTAAGGCCCAAAACTTTGTAAAACCTATGAAGAAACGAGGTAATTGTGTAAGAAGTGTCAAAACCGCGTAAAATCAGAGGCTTTGAAAAGATATCCTTAAACAGCGCAAACTGTGTAGAAACATTGTCAACTTTGCACAAGCGTTTGTTTAACTGTGTAAAACCTTCAAAAAAAGTTGATTAAATCCCAACAGCTTGAAAAACATGCCAAACCTCCATAACTTTGTAGAACCGTTTTATAGATCGCAAAAGGGCGAAACATTTTGCAACACCAAGAACATTCCAAATATGTTGCGTGAAGGCATTGCAAAGTCCCTACAACATTTCCAAATTTTCAAAACGTCTAGCTTTGTGAATTCCAAAACAATCGGTCCAAATCCCAAAAATGGTCACCCAAACTCGATGTTTAAAAACTGCCAAACACTTAGTGAAAACTGTGGAAAATCTGTGAAAATGCCAATTGTGCAAAAAGACTTTGCAAAATCAAAAACTTTGAAAAAGCTTTGTTTGCTCACAAAACGTTGCAAAAAAAAACATGTTAAAATTCCAAACTGTGTCAAAACTTGGTATATAAGCCCAAGAACTTTGTCAAAACTTTGCGAGAACTGTGTAAATCCAAAACAATCTCAAGACGTCGTAAAACCTCAAACGGTCTTTTAAATTGAAAGTAAGACCCAAAATTCCAAAACTGCTTAAACACGCGACTGAAACATATAAAAAATTCGCAATCAGAGACATTGCAGGGTCGTGACGGCCGCGAGGGTCGACGTCGACGTGGCGTCCCCAAAGATGGACAAACTTTGTAAGCTCCTATGTTCTGCAAAGTCTTTGTAAAATCCATAACTTTGGGAAAACGTTGCAAACACTGCGTAAAACCCAAAACTTTGCAAAAACACTTGGTACCAACTGTGTAGAAACGCGAAACATACAAAACTTGGGACGTGATTTGTAAGAACTGTCTGTACACTGTAAACTTTGTAAAAACTTTGACTTGTGTAATAACATCTTTTTACAAAGGCTTCAGCTTTACAAGGCTGTGCAAAGTCTTTTCGGAGCTGATTCGACAATTGACAAGGCTTTAAGAATTCGTTCATAGTCTACAGCTTCGTCGCGCCAAACATGTTTCCTTCTCTTGTTGTACTGTACTGGCCACCTCCAGTTACGAGATTGGGGGAACCACCAGCAATGACAATGTTAAACAAAAACACACCATTTGCGATTGAAAGTCGTATCTGGAGTGGCACTTTGGTGATCTGCAGTGGTCTGCGATCATTTGCAGTAGTCTTTGATGGTTCCGCTAGTCTGTGCACTTCTGGAAATGCGCAGCTATCACCAGTGGGACTTTTGCAGCGAAATTACCTCTGCAATGTAACTGTGAATAAGACACCCAAAAGCAACCGGATGCAGGCATCACATGACAGGATGCAACTGTGACCTGCTTCCCCAATGCAACCCAGCACTCACTTTCCGGACGCCAAGCATAGCTTCCAAAAGCCTATCGCGTTGAGGGGAGGGCAGAATGCAGCACACCCACCCCATGAATGACAGAGCACCCGTCTATGCGATGCACAGGTTACCTGAGCGCGTTTGCAAGTGCTTCCTTTTACGCGTCCCTCATTCTTAAGTTTCTTTCAAGCAGAACTTGCAATCAGCTGGAACGCAACCAAACTTCCCTGATCATTACAGCACGTTCCCTGGTTGTATTTTACCCCTTCAGCTATACTGGTACTACAAGAATCAGTTATCTTGCGAGAACAAGTTTTAGAAATTCAGTTCAACCTATATTGTGACTATATACACGAGAATTTGTGCTTTCTGATGTGATCAGAACGAAAGATTCCAAAAGAAAATTATCGCCGCTTGCCGTGGTCTCCTCCAGGTGGCGGATCGCTTGTCGCGCCACCGATCCATTCACCTTGAGACGCTCACTGACCACCGAGGGTGTGATAAGCCTGGCCTTCACAGGAACGGACAGTCTACTCAGAGTCTACTCGTTTGTCATGTGATTGCTCACCCCTTCAGCAATTGAGAGCACCTTGGGTATCTCTTTCAGCATCTTGTCGTAGGTCGCCTGCTTTGCAGCAAACCCGAAATGAAACGAACGCAGTTGCAAAGCTGCGGCCTGCCTTGTCAAACATGACCAGGTTCGCAAGTTTTTCCTTGACCTACGGCTAGCGAGATCAACTGAACTGAGGGACATTTACACATGAAGATTGCAATTTATGGACTCTTTGTCGTCTGCAGTTGCACTGATCTAAATATAGTATTATCAATTACGTCCCTGCGTCGAGCTCTGATCAGAGCTCTGAAACTCACAAAAGGACTGCGCACAGAAGGCAGCGTGAACACGCTCGAACTTTTCCTTCCATGCGACGTGGGTAGGTTGGAAGGTTGATCACAAGGCTATGCCATCAGATCTGATGGTCTCCTGAAATTAAATCAAATTGAAAATCAAAAAGAAATCAGCCCGCCCACAGACGGTCTATGGCCACAGAGGTATACAGAGAACTACACTCTGATCAGACTATCATCCTGTATCAAGATCATAGATCTCAGTGTTTGCAAACGTCAGATCAAAGACGTTCAAACCAAATAAACATATTGCATCCGATCGCGGTTGATCTCAACCGCAAGCATCACAGCTGAACAGCTCAGCATGTCCCGAACATGTCTGTTCAAAATGCCGTTTGTCAAGAGACTACCGCCTGCAGATCGTGGCGGCGGACGGTACCACTCAACAAAAGGCAGACTGAATAGGCTGCTGGATCATCCATCGAAGGAAAGCAACTCGCATCTTCGGTGGAGCCATGCGCGAGCAAGTGCGAGCGCTGACGAAGAACCTAAATTGGTAAGCAGGGGGATTGTGGAGGTTTACGACACCACCCCCCTTCAAAGCCCGGGATCTGGGCCTCAAAGGGGAGTGGTGGGTGGGCTCAAAATCAGAGCTCACAACTTGAGCCAAAATGGCATGAACATGCCATTGGCTTTTCATTCCTCAATGTGGCTGATCAGCCCTTCACATTAAATAAAGATCAAACAACTGAGTTGCGAAGGAACAAACACTTGATCTACTTATCCCAGCCTAACCAACCGATGATAAGTTAACCAATTGCGCCCCTGTGTCAAGCTCTGATCAGAGCTCTGCAACTCACAAAAGGACTGCGCACAGAAGGCAGCGTGAACACGCTCGAACTTTTCCTTCCATGCGACGTGGGTAGGTTGGGAGGTTGATCGCAAGGCCATGCCATCAGATCTGATGGCCTCCCTAAACTTGAATCAAATTGAGAATCAAAAAGAAATCACCCCACGCTGTTAGAGGTTAGGGAACTTAGCAACGACCGTCTTCCAGCCAAGCCAAGCTCCGATGTTCATCCGATCTCGCGAAGGAGGATCTGCCGGGTTAGCGTCTGTGGAAACCCGGTTGATGTAGGTTTTGACCTTGAGTTCCAGAGCCATCTTCAAAAGGTTCGGTTGGGCAACCAACTCACGCAGATCACCGTCGATGTGGCTGCCAGCCTTCATCCTGCTGGACGCTACTGGTCCATAGAGAATCCGCTGGGATCATACCTGTGGCTCACGCCGCCTGTGGCGCAGATCGCGTGGCTTTCCCAAGCAGAGCGCTTCGAGTTCGACATGCGCCGCTTGGGTCGGATCACTTGAATCCCCACAGCCATCCTGGCGACACTGACGCTCGGGGCACTCACGTTAAGGCGCGGCGCGGCTCAGCGTCCTCACCGCCACATACCCCTGACGGGGATGGAAGTCGTGGACGGACGTCAGCAGTTCAGGACAAGAAGGGCTCAGGTCTACCCATCAGCTCTGCGCCAGGAATGGGAGCGCTCGGAGCGCTTCGGGACCCCAACGCCGATGCGCCATCTAGCTTGCGGGCCAGGCTGAAAGAAGAGCAAGGCGTCCCAAAATGAACATAGAACACAAAGCCCTCCTCGATGAGCATGAATAGGTGTTTGAGCACAGAGTCAGAGGTGATGTCGACGGAAAAAGGCACCTCATCGTTGCGCTCGATCTCAATTGGTGGGAGAACTGCAAAACCTGCCGCCCTCATGGCTTTCGTGAGCACGACCTTGCCAGCAAAAATTTCCCATAGCGACCGGGAGGTGGTCTTTTGAACGAACCCCAGAACGGCTCTGACATGTTCAGATCTGAGCCGCTCCCGAGCCGATCTTGCTGGATTGATTCTCTCAGCGATTGCCCACCGTAGGGTGGGCAGCTGCGCTTGAACCTGCACTTGAAGCTCATGGATGAGTTGTAGTAGTGACAGCGCTTGGGCCCTTTGTTGAGGGGGGAGACCGACAACCTTTGGGAGCCAGCCCACTTTTCTGTTCACTCCCACGCGAGCACATTCACACGGATTGTTCGAAACACGCCTACACTGAAAACAAAATCGCGGATCTCCGCTTGTTCTCCAGCCGTCTTTCTCCTCTTCAGATTTGAGGGAGCTGACCGTATTGCCGGCAGGCTCCGCCCGTGGTTTCTTGAACGAGGGGACTATCGGATCTTTGGCGCCACCATGCCGATCCGTGACCATACCCCAATCTCGCCCATGATCTTCGAGCGAGATTGGGAGATCAGGTTGAACAGGAGAGGTACCAACTCAATACGTCTAAGTACCGCGTCCCTGTCCTCCTGATCCCCCCCATTGCGCCCAGCATTTGCGCTATCTGATCATCAGCTCCCACTTCGGCGTCCAGCGCGAGCCAGAACTCGGATCGCCCGAGCCCCAGCCTGCACAGCGCTCGAGCGAACTCATCGTCAAAGATCGGCAGCTGAAGAAAGGCCACCATGGAGCGATCCATCGCGGAGTCAGATCTGATGATAAAAAAAATCTACGCAGTGAAAATGACATCCGGTTCTAGATTGCAAATTTGATCATTAAATGACTTCGCCGATCGGCTCGATCGCCAAAAGCGGCACGTCGATCGACTGTGAATCATCCGGCCCACCCATCCACTCCCTCGCGATCGCGACGAATCTGACTCTCGCCGGAGCAGCGGCGACCAGGGATCTTGGTCTCCACCTCCTGCAGTGCGGTGTAACGGTGTACCATCGCTGCACGCTGTCGAGCTCGACTCCGATCGCATGGTCGTCGAACTTCACGATGGTTATGGGTTGAAAAGGATCAAGTAAAACATACAACACAAAACCGATCGACACGCACGAAAGGAGCCAAGGGGTTGCATGTGGGCGCAAAGATCATCGCCCTCATCCCTGGTTCCCTTCCCTCCCAGACCGGATCGTCCTGTCCGGTCTTCCGGCAAAAACCGAACGATGAGTGAGCCGAGGTTGGGATCTACCCGACTCTCTTCGCCCTGGCCTGCGGTTTCGGTTGACCACGCCCCACCTGCCGCCGTCGGGAGCTCAAGATTCTTCGGGGGCAGATCATCCACCTCCTCGATCGTGGCCGACATCTCATTAAAAATCTTCGGCCGGATCTGACTCGCGAAGAAGGCTGGGGTGACCTGCGCAGACGATCGGGCGTATCGCCTATCATTCCGCCCTTGATCACTGACACGAGCTTCATCTTCGATCTGTGGACCTACCGGGCGGGGCATTGAACGAGCGACTGGCCAATTCAAAATCCGACTGAGCCGACGTCGAAATGACTCTAGCTCATTGGCTCTACGACCCGCTCAGCTGCATGCTTCCATGCACCTTCGGTGATCAAAGGTGGTCCCAAAGGCGCCGCTGGGCCAGTCCCCTCACGCTGCATCCTGACCCAAAGCTTGGAAGTGGCAGCGATGTGGAAGTTGCCGTCACTGCCCATAGCGCCGTCATTGTACACCTTGACATCGGTGTACGATGCTGAGGTGTCTCTGAGCGTCGGCCATGAAAAGGGATGAAAATTAGCCGGATGGCTCAGAGCTGTGGCAGTATGCCTGTCCCACCCTGCATTTGGAGCTCCCGTCTCAGTGTCCAGCGCTATGATGATCACCGCCTTGACTCCGTCCAAGGTGTAATTCCCGAACAGGGAAATGTGAAAACCAGCGTTCGGAGGCATGACCTGATCTCTCTCGGTCAACACGTTAATGGAACTGGCCGAGTTGGCCATAATTTCACGCGTCAACCAGCATTGGAACGGAGAAGCCACGCGAACGTCCCGATCATTCACCATAATGATCGAGTTCTCAGCCATCTCCTCCAACATTGTATTCGAGCCAGGTTTCACCTCGAACGGGCTGTGTGCGGCGTTTGCCCCGCCGGAGCCCCCTGCGAGCCCCAATTTCCACTGCCACGGTGTCCATGACCGCCACGGTGACCACCCCGGTAGCCAGACATGGCTCTGCACCCAGGCCCTTGGAGCGGCGAACGCCACAAGCGTTCAAAATCAGAGCTCACAACTTGAGCCAAAATGGCATGAACATGCCATTGGCTTTTCATTCTTCAATATGCCTGATCAGCCCTTCACATCAAATAAAGATCAAACAACTGTGAGTTGTGAAGGAACGAACAATTGATCTACTTATCCCAGCCTAACCAACCGATGATAAGTCAACATATATATAGAGAGAGAGAGAGACCACGGTACTGTGGGACCATGGGACCATGGGACCAAGGCCGTCCCGCATCTGGATCGAATCGAACCCAAAGAATGTTTATTCTTCCGAACCTGCCGCATCCACACCAGGCCTTGCCCTTGGCCCACTTCTTCTTGCGGGACTTGCCGCCAGCCATGGCCGCTTTCATCTTGGCCTCCTTGGACTTCTGCACCTTGGAATTACAAAAGGGATTACAATTAAGGCGTTACATGAGCATTCACTTCTTCATTCACTTTAGATGTGGTTCATGCTGTTGCAGTGGGCAATGTTATCGGAACAGTGCAGGTGGGACTGAGGCATTCGCAACTTTGTTCGCACCCATTGGAACGCCTATCAGTCTTACACCTCAAACAGCCGAGCCTGACTTTGCGGCCTTACACAGAACCTGTCGGTCCAAGAGACAAACTTTGACATGACTTCAAAGTGATGATTGGCTTCAAGGCCCACGTTAGCATCAACTGCACATCAAAGGGGAAGGGTGTTGCACTGAAGCCACCAAGCAATACCCATCAAGACATATATTGAAGACCTTTCATGTAGATGGACAAAGCAAGCAAAAGCAAGAAACTAAATAGGACATAAAGGAGAAAAGGCCCTTTTCTAAAACAACAATGGACTTCTGCGACCATTGGAACAACGCGGTAGTCCAACAGCACACTTTGGGCTGTGACTGGAACCTAGACTCCAAACGAACTACACTGGCTAACTAGACACATTGGTCAAGGCTAGCATTCTCTTCAAAGTACCTGCCGAGGGGATATTCATCCAAACGGCCTTTTGGGAGGGTAGTTTACTTGACCCCAGCGCTGCTGACATTGCATCAAAGAGAACCTGCGACAACCCCAAGCTCTGCTTACAGGGAAGCAATCTTGAAACTACAAAGATTATCACGCCTTTCCGCTAGGCATCTTCAATGGCCGCAAACGCGAGCGCCACCATTCGTGAACTGACCTTGGATGAGATCAGAGTGGCTTTCCTCTGTTGAACAACAAAGTGGAGACTTCTTGGCCCCCAACTCTTCCAGGGTATTGATACACCAAACTTGCTCGCACTACGTCTGAACACCCTTGCATTGACATGTCGCACTTTTCACATGTCTGGGGAAACAATGAGTTTTGCCCCGACTTGGTGCACTCACGCAAAACATGTGAGACAGGTGCCACATTCAGTGGTGGCACCGCTCCAGACAGCAAGAATGCCAGGTCCATGTGGAACTTTTCCTAGATCCGTCAAGACTTTGCCACAAAACTCCCAGTCCACATTTCTCACAGCAGCCATAGGCTGTTTGTTTTCATCTTGCCCTTCGTAAAGGCCTCCCCACAAATCAACCACTTTACATGCAAAGGAAGTCAACCTACTTGGAGCAAGGCAAGCATCCCGACAGCTACTGAACAAATCCTGTAAAGCTTGGCACGGCAACGGGAAGTTTAACTTACGGCAAGGCAAGACTTAGGAGCAAATTTTCCAACAAGTTTGGCATACGAGTACGGCCCAGGACGAGTGGTGCATATACAGCCGAACTGAATGATTTCTTAGCGACGAAAGCGTGCTACTGAAAAAGAAGAACTGCCAGTGGGAACCCGCCAGAACTGTCAAGTTGCCATCCAACCGGGACACCGGAGCGCCAAAGGCTCTCAAATTATACCCCGGCCCGGGCAAATACATGTGTCTGTGTATGTGTATATATGTATATATAAGTAGCACGGTGCTAACGCACTACGTGACACATACAAAAGTCAAACAAGAAGCAAAGACTCCAAAAAAGGGTGCCTGCTGCGCTGTCTCTCATGAAAAGCACCGGCTGCACCAACCAAAGAAATCCACTTCGGCACGCGCCTTTTCACGACACGGGCCGCGGGGCGCAACTCGTACCACACATACCATTTCACCATCGTGGATCACACCACCTTACCAATCCGAATCTGGTTCGAACCTTTTGGTTCGGTGTACTCACATAACACAATACTATGTGTTCCCGAATGCGTAGCGAAGGGTTCTCATTTAACTCTGGGGGTTTGGGGGTAGAGCCTTGTTCGCGACTCGTTGTCTAAGCGACCGCAACCGTTGTCAACCATCCGCAGCCGTTGCCATTGAGGGAAGCTTTTGGAGAGGGCTTTGGGTGGAAGAGTGACGTGTCAGATTTGTGTGAAATCCGCCGGCTTGCCGGCGTGTCTTGTGGATGTGCTTGCACTTGTACTTGTCTTGTCTAGTACTAAAGTTGTTCATCGTTTAGATTGCTCCTCTCTGCGCGGATTTTTGCCTCGACTAAACGCCCCCTCCCCCTGTAATTTGTAGTGTTCTAGGGTCCCCCTAGACGTGCCTACGCTATACATGTGTAGCACCTGTTGTTCGTAGATACTTTGTATATACTCTTCAGTCAGCTTGACAGTATAATTCACATTGCTTTTGGCTCAAGACCACTAGAGCCCGTACTTGCACCGCGCGCCATAGAAAAGTGTGCTCTCTGCTGTTCGCACAGACACTCCGCTATCGGTTCTACTGGGCTTTACTTGGTGTTATCGGTCAGGTCCAGTGTGCTTCACTGCCACTTTGGAGAACTTACCCCTCAAAGTGGTAGCGGAGCTTGTGTCTCCTGCTTCGCCATGCTCAAGTTTGCTTCGCGCAGGTTTGTCCGACTTTACGGACAGGAGACAACCAAGTAGCCCACCTGTCTGAAGAGTAGCAATCATGGTCCAGATCTTTAACATAGATACGGACAACGAATCAGAATATAGTCATCAGGAAGAGTCGGAACCAGAGGAAGCTTACGCTGCACAAGGTTCGAGGTATCGTTCCCTTTAGTCCAGATCCTCAGGTTCGACATTCCGGACTCATGAAACACAACCAGCACCAGGTGTCAAAACGACGCCAAAGATTCCCCCCGTCCTTTGGTGGACAGTCATCTGGGTTCGAGTTTGAAGATTTGATCGATGACTGGGTAATAGTAAACATTACCACACTTTCCACAGCGAAGCTCGGTCCCTCATTAAAGAATGCATTGACCGGGCAAAGTATTACAAGAAAACGCTTGACAATGAGCAGCTTCGTAACGAGAGAAACGGCGTTACTTATTTCAAACAAGCGTTACGTCCATGTTTTTTTTCTGGCGTTTCATGGAGGTCTTTAGGACCTGGCGCGGAAACGGTGAATTTGTCAGTTAAATCGCTCGTTTTGAAGTCGCAAGCAAGAAAGTCATGGAAGCCTGGATGGGCTTATTAGATCTTTCAGCTGTTCCACAGCCAGATGATTTCAACTTTACTGAAATCCTCTCGCAACAGCAATACCTGCTACTTCAAGGACTTCAAGATCCAAACGACAATGAACGAAGAGAAAACGCAGACAGAATTCGTACTGAACACATTGATGCCATGAAACAAGCACATCGTGAAACTTTCCATTGTCTGACAATTTGATGTCGCTTATTTTCCTAGCTCAGTCCGACTTGAATGAGCAACAAAGAGAAAGGTGTGTAGCCAGCATGTCCTTACGAGCATGAACAACTACAAGTACTTAGCAGTCAAAGGCTTATTCCTTGATCTCTTTTGCGGAACCGCCACAGGAACTGGATCAGGAAACAGGCGAAGAAGGATTTGTGAGTTTGTTCTCACAATCTCATTTTTTGGTGTTAGCAGCTAAAGGACCCGTAGAAGAATCCATGGAAGAAGGTTTAGAAGACCATCCAAAGGCGGCAAAGGTAAAGGCCGCGGAAAAGGCAGACGACCCGGCTTCACAAGCCGTAGGGGCAAAGGCGCAAGGGCGCACTATGCAGAGTATGCTGACAACTCCGGCTTCTATGGAAAAGGCAAGAAAGGAAAGAAATGTGGAAAGAAATGTTTTAAAGGGGTGTAGAAGGCAAGATCTTCATAGGCCTTCTCTGGTGTGGGTTCCTGAAAGGTTTGGCTTTACCATGAACAGGTAGACTGACCTCCATGGTTCGCTTGTGCGCCGAATGGCCTTTCCTCTCATCACTCAATCTCCAGAAACCACCAAACGTAGGTCTTCTTCATTCGTCTTGCCAACCCAAATACCTGGTAACCATTGCGGGCCCTGCTTTACTCCTGGTTGTCGTTGGAGTAGCATCACATACTCACCAAAGCACACAACCTTTCCAGCATATCGTCTGCCAGTTGCCAACTCAAATGGAGTAGCTTGCAACGCTCGATGTGAAGCGAATCTGTTGATCAACCACGCCGCGTGCAAGTAGACCCATGACCACAACGGGCGACTGCCTTCCAAAGAAATCAAGCACTTGTCTTCGGCCATCTTCATCAAACACGAAGCCTGTTTCCGCAAAGTTTGAATGGCTCTTTCAACTTGGCTTGTTTGTCCCTTCTTTTGGGAATTCGTCACCGTTGTCTGCAGTCCCAAACTGTGCCTAATCGTCTGGATGTAGGTCAAGAGGTTCCTCATAGTGGGTTCATTGTCGCCGGTGATCTCCACATTGCCATACTGATTGAGCATGAGAGTGAACCTTACAACATGCTCAGCTTGACCTCTGAGGTCAGCACCTTTGCCTTCCACGGGCACTGCAAGAAGCATGCGTGTCTCAGCATCAACACCCGCTAGGATCGTGGTGAGGTCTGCTTTGCTGTTTCCCCCTGACCGGCCATAGGCATAGTCAAGCTGCACTGAAGAGATATTTCTTCCCTCAGCAGATTGGTCTAGGACTCGTTGATGGTCATCTCTGCCTTTTGTAGCAACGCAAAAATCACACCAATCTCTGTATGGAAGATGGGTCAACTCGTGAAGCTCCCTTTCCTCTTTGCCTGGTTGTCGAGGAATGTTCACCTGAACTAATCCTTTCTGTCTGGCTTCTTCTTGGTAGAGCTTGTTGGCGGCCAAGACCAACTCTTCATACTCTAGTTGTTGCACCTTCTGATTCAAGCGGTTCCAAAGCGCCTTCTTTGAGCCACCTTTGTTCAGTCCCAAGAAGTCGGCTGCACCTTTGAGCAATGCTAAGGAACTGTTGGCATTCAACTCCAGTCCATTAACCACCAAACTTTCTTTGTTCTCTAGGACTGGGATGGGACCGTCCCAACTGACACCTGCATCTTGTTGTTCCACCTCCTCTGTAGTCTGCTCATGCTCAGGTTGCAGTTCATAGGGAACCATGAAATCATCACTCTCCACATTGACACCGCCTGAAGTAGCTGTGGTCTCACCAACCACCGTGCCGAAGAACTTGATGGGCTCTTTGGTCTTGTGCAAAACTGAGTTTCTTCTCCATTGCACTCTGGAATCTCTCCTTCTGGATCCTCAAGTGTAAAGTATCGACCGCAGTGTTCAACCAGCTCCCAAGAGTCATCAAGCTTTCGACTGAGAGTAGACCTCATGGGCCACCAGTGGGTATTCCACATGAGCTGGGCATTCTTGAAGCACTTGCTGGCGTAATTGAACTTGAAAGGATTGCCATCAGGCCCCGTCTTCCAAGCTCTCAAGCCATAGCTCTCCCAGAAGAAGTCATGAAGCTTCATCACCGTCTGAACTACCAAGACATCATTGTCATCCCGGTTCACCACCTCAGGAAGTCCTCCTTGCAGCTCATCTGGCACCTGTTGCACACGGTTGATGGTCCCCAGCAAAGCCAAAGAGTTCTTGCGGAAGTACAAGGGAACTGTGCATTGAGCGTCTGGCGCCTGCAACTGCACTCCGGTTTCTGTGTTCCCAGGACAAAGACGCCATCCTTTCTGCAAAAGTTGCCCCATGCTCACCAAGGGCGTTTGGACTGAGGCCACAATGAAGTCGTCCTCAATGATGACTGAGCCTTCAGCTGACTCGCATTCGATCTGCGCCAGCTTTCTGCCATATGTGGCCAATTGGGAACCCTGTGCATCCTCCAGCACTGCTTTGCCAAGTTTCTGCGAGGTTCCTCTGTCTGCCGTCGACCGAGGCAAAAGGCTTATGTCGGCCCCAGAGTCCAGCACAATCAACATCTTCTCTTCATTGCTTGTGACCATGTTCACATGAAACACTGTCGGCTTTGCATGGTCTTGTTCTTCCATCACGTAGCGTCGTGTGGGTAAACCAAGGTACCAACGCCAGGTTTTGTCTGACAAACATGCAGCTTTTTGCTCCTCATCTGAACCATCATCCAGTGCAAATGACACAACATTGACTTTGTAGTTGTCATCATAGATCCAACTGTCACCTCCTTCGCTTTGCAGGTCATACAACACAGGAGTGGAGGTTTCCTCTCGGGGAGTAGCCACATGGTAAAGTCGAACTTGTCGAACCTGTTTACTGGCTGTTGTTGAGGTCGTGGAGGAACTGCCAACTCCACGAAGCTTGCCACTTGCTGAACTAGCAATTTCGCTTTCAGAGACACCAGTATTGCTTCCTGTTGGCATGGACTGTGTCACAGCATTGGCTCTATTTGGACATTCATTTCCCCAATGACCTTGTTGTCCACAAATGCGACAAGTGTTGGGGTTGTTGCCACCTTTGCCCTTGTCTGAACCATGGAACTTTCCTTTGCCCTTCTTTCCTTTCTTACCTCCTTCTGGAACTTGCCACCAGTCTTTCCGCCACCGTAAGGAAAAGGAATCCAACCACCTTTCTTGCTCTTGCCTTTCTTTCCTCCTCCTTTGTACTTGCCCTTGCCGACTTGGTTCACGCTGTCAACCTCCATAGGCGCAGGTCCATTGTTGGAATCGAGGGTGTTCTGGACCAGCTTGAGGTACGCGTCACCTGACCAGACTCTTGAGTTCTTGTCCATCAAGATCAGCTTTTCTTTCAGCGTGTTGTAGTCCACCGAGTCGTCCAGGGTCAGCTCTAAATGCCTGCGAACATTCTGGTCCACGCATCTCAACCGTGGACACCACCAAGTCATCAGGCATTGCATGGCCTGAAGCAACCCTGTACTGATCCAAGAGCAAGTCCAGCTGCAGCAAGTTCTCCATCACGCTCTTTCCGGGTCTGAACTGTGGCAAACCCATGATGGCCTGACCAATGGCCATCGTACGAGGGCGCGCTCGAGGAAGGTACAAATTGCGCAGCTGTTGCCACACTCTGAAACCATTGCGGTCTGTGGAAGCTGCCTTCACAAATTGGGCTGCTGGACCCTTCACGTATGCCAAAATGGAAAAAATTTTTTAACCAAGCTCAACCACTTCATCGGATGCAAACTCTGCCAAGGTGCAAGGCTCATCCAACTCTTCAACCTGTTTCAAGAGTTCCACATACCTATGGTCTCCATAGGTCTGCCAGTTCTTGAAGTTGTCGGACCAACTGACAAACTTAAGTGGATCATCCACTTCGAAAGCTTCAGGTGCCTTCAACACTTTACTTGCCTCACTGAAGCTACCATGGCTGTCCTTCTTGTTCAGCTTTTCTGCCACCAAAGCTGAAGACTGTGCAGCGTTCATCGTGGCCTCTGTCATCTGTAGAAGATGATTGAACATCCTCTGAGCCTGCTCACCATCCATCGCTTGGCCGGAAGTCCATAAGGACAAAAAGATTAAACTTCTCATCTTCATTCTGAATTCAAAACGATGCCGAAGGCCGCCATTCCACCTTCGTGCTTTGCTCAAGTGGCCCCTGGGCTCAGGATGCCTTCTCACCAAGGTCCTCGATCTTTGTTGGGACCGTCGCATCATCTCAGCTCCTAGCACCAGGAAGAGACTCAAGAACATGTAAACCTCCCATCCAAAGTTTTCCATCATCACTTGCAGGATCATTGAATGTCGCTCAAGGTCAAAAACCAAGGCACCGATGAAATTCTCTGCCACTTTGACATTCCTAAGAAAGTAGCTAGTGACCATTCCTGTGGACTTGTGTCGCATGAAGCCTTCACAGCTTTCATTTGTATGGTCCAAGCCCCAATCCTGGACCGTCTTCGTGTTGAAGTCCTCAAAGCATAAAAAGTCGGAGCGCCAATCTTCGACTTTGGAGGTCTCGCCTCCATCCATGGGTTCAGCCTTCAGCTGACCAGCGGTCAAAGGACCTTCAACAGCAGACATCCCGGTGGTTCCAATCCACCTCATAGAGCTCATCTCAAAGTCCACCGTGCTGTTATGGCCACCATCAAGGCCATCATTCGCAGGGCGCCAATCCCCGCTCACCCTCTCCTTCTTCGCCATGTCCTGCTCGTTCTCCATGTCCTTGTAGGGGAAGTTCATCACATTCACCTCCTCGTTCGTGAAGTCGTCCGTGAGCTCAACACCTCCGCCTATCTTCAACAGGAGCAGCACCAGGATGAAAGTCGCGGAGCGGCTGGAGCCGAGACTTTGCTCGGCTCCGCTACCATGACAAAACGACGCCGCGGACCTTTTCTCTGCGAAAGGTCGCTTTGGGCCACTGTCGAGCGAAAGCGGAGTTCATGAACTTGAGGCCAAGGGGGGGTGCGAAAGCTAGCGCTCCAGAATGGGAAAGTGGAGGGCAGCGAGGTAGGAAAAAACACGGCGCTCTTTTTGGAGGCAGGGGTGAAGAGTCCTTTATATGTGGCTCTTTGCCCGGATCCTCCTGCGAGAGAGGGAGGGAGGGAGGGAGGGAGGGAGGGAGGGAGGGAAGGAGGGAGGGAGGGAGGGAGGGAGGGAGGGCTTTGACCTGAAAAATCTGGGGTTAGGATTTGCACCCGGTCGAAAGAAACCTTGCTATCGCAAGAGTAACTCCAGCTAGCTTCGCTAGCTTTCGTGACATCTAGCTATGCGCATGGTGTAGAAATCTCTCCGACTGCGCAAAGGGGTCTTTTGATCCGACGCTAAGATTGCATGCTCCGCCGGTCCACCAACATTGACCAAAAATTTCACGAAGATATCCCCCTGCACATCAATCGTTGTTTGTGCTGCTCGACGCCCTTGCGCAACACTTGAATTTCGCCATTTGTTCACCCCAATTTTGGCCGAAAGCTTCTGCGCCGACACCTGTCGTTGTCAAGTGGCGGGAATCTGCGCCGCCCTAAGACGCTCCAAGAGTGGTAAAGCCAATTCTTGCCTTCGGCAACGGCAAAGTGTTACAAGGGATTTGGTATGTTTGATCTCGAGAAACTACACGCCTATCAGACTAATGGCCTTTGTTCGTTCGTTTTGCATTTGACAGTTTTTGTCACGCACAGGACTCCAGGACTCGCCTGTGGCTCATTGAACTTCTCTTGTTCCAGAAGACCGCGCGTCAAAAACCAAACTCGAAAACTCGAACTTGCCTCGAATTTTGGCGCATTATCGCCTCGAAGAGCGCCTGCGCGAAGAAGAAGAAGAAGAAGACGAAGAAGAAGAAGAAGAAGAAGAAGAAGAAGAACAGAACGAGATATCTACGCACAACAGCAACGATATACGGCCGCACAAGAATTTGACAGCAACCAAGTCCTTTTGGTTCCTATCTGGCGCTGCTGCGCAACAATTTCAGCCTCCAGGCAATCCAGGCTGAGGTGCCTGATTGAATCTTTCGTGCGGCAGAGATCATTTCCATGGATTGGTGCCAAATTGCAAACCAAAACAACCAAAGAAGCACACTGTCTATCGGTCACATTCGTACAAACAAAAGTTGCAGGACCTACATATACATATGAAGTCGATAATTGAGACTACGTATATTTGTTAATGTGTATATATTTCACGCGCTGTTTTGGCCGCACTTTGATCGGTTGCCCTCCGTGTTGGTGCTTCACCAAGCTATCACGACAGCTGTCGAAAGTCAAAACGGCACACGCTGCATGTCAACATCAAAGGCTGCCACAACAAAGAAGCTATGTACCACATCAATACAATGTATCAATGTAGCAACGAATCAACGTTACCAAGCCGGCTACCACTCTCAACACTCTGCTTCCTCATATTAATGGGGAGAGTGGCTTTGTAGAACACAGCTCAAGTGGGAGCCCATGAGAACAACTTGCTGGCGTGAACTGGCCAACAAGTTGAAGAGAAAAAGTTGGGCAGCAACCTCACGAATGATTCCAGCTGCCTTGCCGCAATGTCAGTGGCTTGAAGGTATTCGTGAGCGGCTCCGGTGCCACGTGGACCGCAGCAAGCTCAAGTAGGGAAAAGTCTGTCATCAAGCTCCAAGTGATTGAACACGCACCGATACAAGAACGGGTTATCGAGAGATCATCCACCCAACCACGTTCGCCAATGAATTCCGAATGAAAACATAGACATAGATGAACTGTCCCTAACTAACACTGTCCTCAAGGAGTCTCAAACCCCGGCAAGTCAAACTCAAGAAGCCTTGCAATGGAGCATGCTTCAAATCCACAGCGCATTTCCTGCCAAGCTGCACCTACCCAGCAAAGGGCCGAAATGTGCCTTCCCGAAAAATGGCACACGCTGTAGGCCCGCAAAACCAAAGTGGGCGCCTCAACCGTTTCAAGCGCTTGTTTGCTTCAAAGACAATTGTGGAACTTTGGCTCACGCAGTCTCAAAAGCCTGCAAACATGTTGCTGTGCTCTTGATTTGCCAGAACACGGAAGGAACTCCTCGCGATTCGATTCAAATCTCCGAGCTGCTCCGGCCCTGCGCTGCTGACCCTACTGTCCACACACCAAGCAACCGACTGCCTGCGTGCATCTTTGAAAATGTTTCCAACAACTCTTGTAGATTCTGCGCTCAAGCCCAAACATAACTGAACTTGCTGGTCGCTCGCGCGACTTGAAAAAATGCCCAACGCCAAGAACAAAACGAACGCAGTCCGAATGGCAAAAAATCTGTTCTCTTGTTTTTGGGTCCCGGATTTTGAATCCAGTTGGGCGGGTTTCAAGAGTTCTGTGCACCACTCTGGGACGGCGCCAGACGCAGCTAGCTTGGCGAGGCCCTTGAATGTTTAGTTGCGCGAGAGGTCCCATAGCCTTCCCGACTCCGTCGCATTCAATGCGCAAGTGAAACGTGCAGGCCTCTCGCGGCGTATGTCTTGTTCCAGTTCCCAAAGCCTGCAAACAGTTGGACGCAGCCCCAGGCCAAGGTTACACCTTGAAGAACTCGATTAGCTTTGGAGACGGTGGATGAACTGCTTTCAGATTAGCAAGCATAATACTCCCTTTGCTCTGCGTGCCTGCAAAACTTTCGTGGGCCCCACATCGAGGCGTGGCGGCGTAGCAGCCCGACAAACGCCAGTCCTCACGTTGGTCTGTATTGCAGGAGCTCAAATACACAAACACTCGGGCTCTGCTTTGCGTTGTCTGGAAAGTATATCGCAAATGCGGGGGCGCATGAAGAGGCGGGCGTGAATCCAATACCCTTGAAACCGCTTGCGGACAACCAAGCCCTTGTGAACTGAAACTGAAATACTGAGGCACAGCATATCCATGACCTGGGCGCTGAAACTCTGCCTCTTGCAAGGGTTGTTGCGAGGGTTGTTGCATGCATTTCTCTCCGTCACGATAGGCCACGTGATTGGCTCTCTGTATTGCAAACTCTCCTCTGGCCGCGCACGCTGCTTCACGTTTCAAGAGGCTTACGCGGGGTTGCTGCGCTGTCTCCACTGCCAGAGCATCGCCCATTGCCAGCGTAGCATAGCTAAACACACATATCGCTTTCTCCATGGTGCTTTGAGAGATCAAGCCAGCTCAAACACGCCAGCTAAGCTGCCTGAAAGGGCACTCCAGTCAAGTTCTGCTTTGCCCGCTTGCTGCGCACCAGAAAGGCGTGGCAGAACCGCAACAACTGCTCATCCTGTGAAAGTTGTATCACGCCAATCAGACATCCTGGGGCAATCGCGGAAAGTGGCGGAAAGCTTCCTGAACTCACAACAGATTGTGAATGGCTCTGTAAAATTCTTCATCCTTTGGAACAGCAGCAATCCCAGCAGTCTCACGCGCTTGAACATCACCTCCGCCACATCTGGCGATTCCACCGCACTTGCACCAAGTGCTCGGAGGCCGGAAGCATGCATCTTCTGGATTTTGGAAGGACGAAGGCAACACCAGAAAAAGATTGGGCGTTGTCAGCAGGGCTCTCACACCAGCTTCATTGGCACAGCCGAACCTGCCATTGGTTGCTCGCCCCCAAGAGACACGCAAAAGTCTGACACAAGGCTCTGATCTTTGCCTGCGAGACCTGGTTCTGTCCAAGGACTTAGTAGGTGCTGCTGCATGCTGCATGGCCAACAAAGAAGACACACTAGCTAGCCGCTCTGTGCCTTGCCATGGTCAATTCGGATCTGAGCTCATACACGTTCAACCTCCTCTGTACTGAGCAAACCTCCGTCCTAGGACTCCGAGACTGCAGGATGCTCTGGCTGGAGTGCCGCGGAGGCACGCCCGCCAGGATCATGCCGCAGAACTGTCGAAGCCTGGACGACGCCACTACAACAAAAATCCTGGGGCGCAAATGTAGCCAGAGCGACGCCTATGCCGCCACACTGCTGGCCTGGCCAAGACCATCTGACCTCCCGCAGGATGTCTGTGGCAAGGCCCCAGGACATGTGGAGTTCGAGCCAAATTGTCTTGACCGGCAAATTGCTCAATCAGCTGACATAGGAAGGCATATACTCTATATATATATATATAAGGCTTCAAAAGTGTTTCCAATCTTGGAAGAGCTGGTTCATGCTAATTTAATCTATATAATCTTTGTGTTTCCATTGCAAGCGTGTTGCTGCTTGCTCCGGGATTTTGGTAATTCCCAGAGGCCACAAGCCTGTCAAGAAAATGACGTCACAGTAGGCAACGCGAATGCACGTCGATGCTTTCCTTGCGATAACTAAGTGCACCAAGAAACTTAAAAAAAAACGAAAAGGGTTCAGTCACGCAAAAGATTGAAAATGCACCCACTGCCACAAGGAGTGAGAAGCAGTGCAGAACAACATACAAGAGTGTATGGTTCGCCTCTTCTACCAGCTTCACGGCTTCAGCTAAACAACCATATTTCACCAGACCAGATATCAAGACCTCCCGAGAATAAGCAAGCAAACATTCTACCTGTCAGTAGTCATGAATGCTCTGAACTGACAAAATCTCCAAGTCAGTCTTAAACGTCTTTGAGGCTACAGTCCGAAGGAGTCTCCACGCTGAGAGCGCCTGGTAAACCTTGCAGTCAACCTCAGGCTCGATGCCCATTGAAAGAATCAAACAATAGAAAGAGCGAAAGGTCTAAAGGTCTGAAAAAATAGAAAACAAACAAAAGAGGAAAAAATGTGGATAAGAAAGGAAAGAAGGACAATGAAAAAGAGAAAAAAGGCAAGTGGCCGTCTCCTCAGCCCTGTGCTCCATGGCTACATTTCCGCATTTCATGAAAGACTTCCAACGCCTCTGCACTCGAAAGGTAATAGAAAAGAAATCAACAATCATGCTTCCCTTCCTGTCCGCCTTGGTATGCCAAATCACTACACGGCGATGTATCTGCATAGTGCGCCTTTTGAGGGGAGCCGTTGTTGATACAACACTGCATGAGGCTCATCCACACCTGCCAAACTCTTTGCATGTCTCCTGTCTCCTTTGCAATCAAATTGCACCTCCTGCAAGAGCCTCATCAGTTTCCTTTTATATAGACCCCACACTCAAAAATGTCTCGAAAAGGCACACTGGCCTGCTGGTTCGGCGCAAATTTTCCAATTTTTGGCAACTTGTCCACCATCTCAAACGCCTGAAGCAAGAAGGAACTTTGCATACTTTTGCTGCATGACTGAAATTGTCCACTGCATGGTAGAACCCACAGAAAGGATGAAAACATTTAATATCAGTACTAGTAAGGCGTAAGCTTTGTCCAGCTGCTTTGCCCGCGCGCATGTCTTCACCAGAATTCCAAGGGTGAAGTTCGTCCTGCAAAACTGTCATCACGTGAACTTGTTCCCCTCACTTTGCAAAAATTCGCTGCCTTGCCAATCGAAACACGCCACCAAACTCCTCCAATTTTTGGATTCTGTAGCCACAATCCAAGAAAGTTAACGGCCCCGAAAAACAGAGACAACAAATTGCAGCAAAGGTTCGGGGCAATTTTGTGAGTCAGCATTTCCTCAGGTCTGGAGAGGCAAAGTGAATCAAGCAGCAACAACATCAAATCCTCCAGCTACACACTGCTCGATGAACCTCCATCAAAAAAACTGTTCGCAGTTTCCGCAAAACTTTTGCAACACGCAAACTGTCCAAGAAACTTCCAAGAGCTGATCCACCAACTCCACCCTGGAGTGCTTAGAACATGCATCCATACAGGTGTTGTACACCACCGCATCGTGTTCCACGTTGCAGTCCTGGCAACGGATAACCATCAACATAATATATCTTCCAACAATGTCAAAGCGGTGGAAGGACTATTCATTGATCTGCCAACCCATGGCGTTCAAAGGGCCCGACAACTCATTTGCGCGCACACTGCAAGAACCGCGTCCGTGCACACACACTTGTCTCATCAGCGCACACATCGCTCTAGAATGCCTCATCTGCGACACATGGTCTGTCAGGCATGAGGGGGTGCGGGGTGGGGATGAAAGAATGACTAGTACGTACAGCGTAGGGGTGCAGGCAGCTAGTGCCTTTTGTAACGGCAATAATCCTCCTCTCTTGAGCCTTGAGGAACACGACAACACCAAGTTGCACCTGTGACAAAAAAGTGACAACTGTAGCGACCCGCACGCATGTCAGCAGGCACAATTCATAGTCATTTCCGTCACGGGGCGCATTGATGCTATCTTCTCCTTTCGGGGCAAAGTTAAAGTCCAGCAGATCTTCAAACTGTCACAAGTACCAAGGTGCCATACACTTACGAGTCCAGTGTGTTACACACTATAAACAAGCAGTCTCTGAGCTTCCTATTAGAGGTACAGGCAGGGAGCTGTAGCTTGCTCACCCTTATAACAAAACAGTTGACACTCGGCTGACTGCGCATTCAGCTGGTTAAGATACCATGTATCGGCGCTCGGTTGGTCTGTGAGAGCAAGACCATACGATGACTTAGCAGCTTTCACACAAAGACCTAAAGCCGGATAAACGACCACGCATCACAAAAAAACTCACACGGTTCAAGTCCGCACTTACTGCATGGAATTAAAATACTTTGCACAGCACAAGGAGCAGCAGGCTCGAGTACAGGCTTCAGGGTAGTGGCCTCGCCGCAAAAACAAAACTAGTCAGGTCTAAATATGGACGCATGTCAAAAGGACTCTCTTCCAAAAACAAAAACACGCAAACACACGCCGTTCAGAGTCAGAGAGAGAGAGAGACTGGCAGGTGACTGCACACGACGAATCAACTGCACTACACTCGCAATGGATCTTCATAATCATCTTCCTGGATGGAAAACTCATTAGAGGAAGATCGATCGTTGGCAGCTCTGCGAATGAAATGAGTCTTCAAACCATCTTCTTCGAAAAGAAGGAAGTACACTATAGATAAGTTTCAATTCAACAACTCTACACGGCAAAGGGTCTTCATGATCATCTTCTGGGAGAAGAAGTACGTCGGAGGAAGAACCCAATCTTTGAGTCAGTGATCTCAACTCAAAAACTATGTTCACTTGACTCAGCCAAGTTAAAAAGTTCGTGCACGAAACCCTCACTCAAAACAGCGCTGAGAGCTACCAGCACCAGATGCTACGGTATCGGGTATACCGGTTTTCTTTTTCTGGCGCATTGCGTCTATTTAGTGGGTTTGTTGATTTTTGGTGTTCTATGGCAATGTTGTTCAAAAGTTTTGACCCGGGGCAATTTTTGGGCGGCCATTCTTACTGTGATGTTCTTTGCCTTTGGTTATATCTGTGTTTTTGGCGTTTTTTTGATTTGGATGCATTCTAACCTTTTTTGCGCAACGCCATTCCATCTCAGTATGGCAAAAATCGCAGTTCCCTGGCCCGCATTCTCCAAGGTAAAAATTTTACGAAAATGGTTTTTTGGCTGGCATTCTAAGTCCCAGCACTCTAAGTATCGCAAAAATATAGAGGCCTGAGAAAGAATGACGGTCAATTTTCCTGCCCGGGTCCCTTATTGCTCACCACTCTTGGAACACTTGTCCCCAGTCTAAGTTTCAGTCCACGGGTATACTCTATACTCCTATGCGCCAAGCCGTAGCATTATAGAACTCATCCTCATACAACATATGACCCCATTCAAGAACAGTATAGTCACTATAGTCAAACAGTATAATCGCCAAGGTTCGAGACCAGGCCTGTCCACCTTCGTCCAGAATGATTACCAGGTTCTTGGGACAACGGATAACGCAAATGGGGAAGATGGTATCCCAGTTCCACTGTGTGCGCAACTCTATCATCGTTGATACGGGTCATACTCCTTTTCTTCATAACATCGAGGAGGAGGCACCTGATTCAACTGCGCGCCTTTCTCCTTCTTAGAAGAAGAGGAGCCAGAACCTTTTGCTTCCTTCTTATACGTGACGGTAAGTCCGAAGCATCATCCACATCCATCTCTCTTGGCAGAAAGTTGTCCTTTTCGGTCACACTTGGAAAGGCTCCTGCGCTCTCATCAAAGTCTTCCATCCTAACATCAACTGCTCCTCTGGCCAAACACCAGCCACGATTGAGCTGCGCTCTGGATTGCGGCAACCCTTTTGACATCAAGAGGAGCCTTGCCTCGGAACAAAACGACGCTTGGCCCTTCCAGTTGCAACATCCTCAAGGATGTTCTGCTGTTCTGTGTCCTGTGGAGGCATTGCTTCATAGAAGTCTTTGGTGCGACTATTGACTATTGAAAACCTCGGTCATTTTCGGAAAACGGTTGACGAGACGCCACATCCTTGATGAGCTTATGCTAGAATGGCAAGTCATCTGCATTGGAGTCAAGCACTGTTGAAGAATCTATACAATTGGCAACATTGAATATATTGGTTGCAGGTTGTTCTTATTTCATAGGATCTTCAATCTTGATGATCTTCCTTATCACCTTACGGCCATAGAGGACGTTGTTCAACAACTGCTGGGTTTGCCAGCCACCCTTGTCTGGCTAATTGCACTTAAGAAAGTAGACGAACATTGCCTCTCAAATTCACATTCTTCATGATGAGCTCATACAGAGGATCTCAAACCTTTGACTCAACATATTCCTGTAACTTCAAAGTCGCACGTTGAATTTAAATCACGGCGCAACTTGTTCCATCTTCGGAGAGAAACGAAAGTTCTCAATTACACCACCATAGACCCCAAACAAGTACACAACAAAGAATCATTCCCAAGTCCACTTTTCCCGAATTAGTTTACTGTTAGGGGTTCACAAGTCTTTCTTAAGATGTGTCCGCCCTTTGCGTCGCTGCTGGTGTCCACCCTTTTCCGCTGGCCATGTAGCATTTCTATTCATTCGTCTCCCAGGTCTGTAACTGGTGTCCGCCCGTTTGCGCTGGCCACGTAGCATTTCTATTCATTTGTCTCCCAGGCCTGTCGCTGCTGGTGTCCGCCCTTTTCCGCTGGCAATGCAACATTTCTATTCATTTGTCTCCCAGGTCTGTCTTCATTTCTCTCCCACGTCTGTCGCTGCTGGTGTCCGCCTTTTCCGCTGGCGATGCAACATTTCTATTCATTTGTCTCCCAGGTCGTGGTGTCTGCCCTTTTCCGCTGGCGATGCAACATTTCTATTCACTTGTCTCCCAGGTCTGTCACTCGTGGTGTCCGCCCTTTTCTGCTGGCCATGTAGCGTTTCTATTCATTTGTCTCCCAGGTCTGTCACTTTTCCGTTGGCCGTGCAGCATTTTTTCTGCATTTGTCTCCAAGTCTGTCGCTGCTGGCGTCCGCCCTTTCCGTTGGCCATGTAGCATTTCTATTCATTTGTCTCCCAGGTCTGTCACTGGTGGTGTCCGCCCTTTTCC